TATAATAATTCTTAAACCAAAATAATTTTATATTATATTATAAAATATTTGACAAAAACTCTTAAAAATAATTTTTTATGTATAAATTGTTTATTGGTGCATATTACTTAAAATTAAAGATTACAAGTAGAATATGCATGAATACATCTTATTAAAGCTCCATTTTTGAATTCGTGTAACAAACTGAAGATAAACATAATCAAATACATGATAAACATTATTTTAAATATAAAAAAATTTAAAATATAATTAAGATAATCATTGAGTTTTAACAAAATACGTAATTATTATCTTAAAAAAATATTCTACTAAACCAAATCGTTATTAAATTTTAATTAAGTTATAATAAAAAAATTGAATTAAAGAAATTACACAAAAACGAGAACATTTAAATAGTTATTTTGATACTAATATCGATTATTTTTTCAAGTTTTTATAATATCTTCAAATTTATATTTTATTCAAAAATAACAACATTTTTTTTCTCTCAAAACCATAGGAAATCACATTATAACATCGATAGATCCAAAATATAAGAYAAAACATTAAAATCAAGATGTATTTCGCTGCATTACGCGAGTATCCTTCTAGTTAGATCTAAAACGTCTGCAACAAATTTATTATAATATTTTTAAATAAAAMATTAAAATTAAAACTTTAAAAATATTATATATAACTTTTGCAGATCTTTTTATGCTTCTTTTATTGTAGTAAAGCAAAATATTTTTATCAAACGAAAAGAATTTCCAAGTGATTTTCTTTTATTATTTATTTATTTATTATTATAATTAAGATTAATTTGTGATAAAACGTATCGTAAGAGATTGTAGAAGAATCTAGAAGTTCCTCTAATCATGTGTGCTTTTTGTTTCTTACTTGTCGTWTTGAAGCTTCTAWCGTTTTTATTWTTCTCGAATGKTACTTRTGCAATACAGTAAGATACATCTTGATGTTAATGTTTYRTTTTATTCTGTTCATGTCGATGTTATAATACAGTTTTATATGGTTTTGARAAARCAATAATGTTTTTATTTTTRAATAAAATATGAATTTGAAAATATCATAAAACTTTAAAAAAAAT